TTTTTTTCTTCACTGTTGTTCAAAATTAAGGGTGAAAAAAATCATTTTTAGAGGGTGAATAACACGCAATCCTCCTTGTCATGGTTGGAGGTTTATTTTCAAGGTAAACTATTTGGTTCAGATCTTATGGATAGACTTGTCTATCTATGGATCATCTCGAAACATGATATTCTTATGGTACACCGTTTTCAAAAGCGACGGTAGAAGAGTCAGTCGACGACCCTTGGAAAAAAATACCAAGGGGTTGTTGACGGCAGCCCTTGGTGCCCGCCCACGCTTCGAAACGCGGAAGTCGTAGTGCCTTTTACCGAGCGGATTTCACGCGGCTCCTCTTTATACACGTAACACGTACTTGGTATTATTCATACGCGAGTCACGTTATATTCAGCCCTTCTTTACTTGTGTGTAAAGGGTAGGCCTTAGTTCTGTCTAAAAGAGTGTCTAAGAAAGAGAGAGTGAGAGCCATTTTCGAACGGTGTATATCGATTGGCATTACGAGGCAGATCAGTCAACCCAGTCGGTATATACCCTCGTCGAGGCACAAAGAAAACGGTGGCTAAGGAAAGAGATCTCTGTCACTAACGTTGCCACCCCTCTTCTTATCCCGTTCGTGGCTGAGACACTTTGTCACCCTCTCACGCGCTTCCCTCGATTGAGCCTGGCCGACGCTAAAGCTCGAAGACGCGTCAAAAAGAGTTGCCGAATGGAGAAGGAAGACGGATAGATCTTTATTGTTGTCTTCCATCGTGAAATCGGTTTCTGCGGGAAGATTGATTATTGGAGCTAACAATCTAACGAGCCCTCCTTCTGTTTACCAGGACAAATCTTTTAAAATTAGGAAATTTTCTAATTCCAAAATTTCAATTGATAGAAAATCAAATTAGGATCCCTCTTCGGTCTATATTGCACCAGGTAAAAATTGAAATTCTAACCGGAAGGGTAAGTTTAATTTGCTGGCAATTGACGAAATATCGATAGAAATACAAATTGGAGGAAAATATAGGTAGAGCAAATTGGTTGGCGAACGAAAGGTTTGGCCGCAAGCCGGTCGAAGCATCGATGCATCGGATCACGTATTTGTACCGGCCGCGGAATTTCATCTCCGAATACCTAGCTGTATTTTCCAACTAGTTCGAACGAAAGAATTTTTCCTCGACCACCGATTTCTAGCTGCGGTCGGGAATTCGTAATAGCCCAGACCGCGGCTCTGGAATGATTCTCTCTCGCCCACCCATCAACAGGAATTATATACTTCTCTCGTTTAGCACCAGGCGAACGGTGTCCAACAGCCGCGATACAGATTAACTTTTCTCTTTGCGGAAGACCGCGAAACTTCCACGCAAAAGCATGGCTCACCGCAAAAGCTCAACGATCCTCTTTGCTCGATCGTTCGCCATTTCATTCTATTTATTTCTAGTAATTCTAACGCGCAACTATCATTCTTCTAACAGGGTATTCAAACAACATTTTTTAATTTTTTTTTCTTTTTTCAATAACTGAATGTTCTAAGGATTTCCGAAAGAATTTGATAAACGTATGTAAGACGAAGTTAAGAAGGAAACGTAGTGAGTCATTTAATATCGTCGGTAATGAACAGCCGCGCCTTGAAGAGGCGGTGCGTGTACGAGTTTGCGGTGCCATGCAGTCCGAGACTTTTTATCGTTCACTCGACGGCGTAGATATTCATCGACGTGGCTCGTTCATCGCCGCGCACCGGAATAAAACGGAAGACAAAGGAGTGTTGCACCGCGTGGTTGCGGGGGTGGCTAGGCAAGACGTCGTCGCGGTGGATGGTAACCCGAGCCGCGACGGGGAGGTCAGTCTTCCAAGATTGACGAACACGATAAATCGACCGGCGGTGACACCAGTTTGAACGACTCGACGCGACAACCCACTGACCTGCGAATCCAATGCATAGAGTTTCTCTGTCGGCCCTGTTCCGCGCCGCGAACGATCCGGAACGCGACGCGTTTCACGAAACACCACCGCATATTCCCATACATATATATATATATTAATAAAATAAAGAAAATAAAATAGAATTATAATTTTTGATGCGAGTATTTTCAGTACTTTCAACTGGTGAAGAGAAGACTTTCAAGCAATTTAAATTTTGAAAAAACTAGGAAGCCCTATTACAACCCTTTTCTTTGTTATTAAAAAAACGAGGATTTTTCAAAAGCAATCCTCTAGAATTTCTCTATAAAAAAAAGGAGCAGAGGTTTCACAGAGAGAAGATTGTACAAAAGCTATCGGGAAGCCATTAATACTCGAATCGCGTATTTCCACGAGGATCTCCGTCGACGAGAGTCGCGTCGAGCAACAAGAACAACAAGGCTGATGACGTAGTCGAGGAAAACAACGACGACGACCACCACAGAGGACTGTATTGTCCTGGTCAACGATAAAAGGTTTCGCATCGTTGCAGTGGCAACGTATACCTACCTACTGGGACAGACAGAGAGTACCCCAGAAGAAGACGTGGAAACAGAGTGAAATAGATAGCTGGACGAACAAAACGTAGGAAAAGAAAGAAAGATGAAAAAAAAAATGGAAGAAAAGAAGCGATAGAGAGAGAGAGAGAGAGAGATCGGGTGCAGCAGATAAAGAGGTCGACGATAATGCTCTCAGTACACCCTGGGTTTCGTAGCTGAGAGCGTACCAGGCGGCCATTATATTGTTTTACCTCTGTATCTCAGCCAGAGATCAACGAGAACGCCGCAGAGTGTTCTGTATACACCTTCGATGTTGGCAAGCAGAGGACGAGGGCAAAGCAGAGTGTACCGAAAGAACGAAATCACAGGGGACCCAGGGCGGTGGTACTTTAGAGCCCCGTTGAAATGGAGCGGCAAATGCTGTTCGTTTCGCGGGCAAACTAGGTGTCTTCGTATGAGTCTACTTTGAAGAACCTTGGAAAATTTTCTTATGTTTTCCTTTACTTTGAATAATTAACACTTTGACCGGCATAGTGAAGACTGATATTTATAAAATTAATTAATTTTCAAATTAAAGAAAATTAGAAAATTCAAGTGATCTGAATTTACACTCTTGAAAATTCCTTGAATCTTAATAAAATATTTCTATACAAAGGATTACCTATCCAAGTAAGATATTTCCATCGAACCCGCGAGATCGGTATCTATTTTTTTCTTTCGACCGAAATGAAAACACGAACGGGTGACATGTCAGAGATATTGAAATTCTGGGATGGTATTCAGGACTCGTGTCCTCTTTTTTACTCAGTCGTTTCGCTTCATACCACGGGACCCGAGAGGTGAAAAAACAATGCCCCATACGACCCGAACCCCTTTCGCGTTTCGATCACTACGGAGTCTCTTTGCGCCCTTGTCTCCTTTCTTTCTTGGCCTCTCTTGTTCGTTTCTATCGTCGCTCTCTCCTCTCTCTTCTTGCCACCCTCTCTCATAGAATTCTTCTGCATGCCACTGCGTCTCGTCTCGTCTCGTCTCGTCTCGTCTCGTGCAATGGTACAATGCAACTCGGGGATGCATTGTGGATCAGCCTCAGCAGACACCCCACTGATATCCGAACGACGATGGCGACGATGGAGACGACGAGAACCAACCATGTTGAGAATGTTAAGTTAGCTGATTTTTATAAATATATCCTAGTAAAAATTTCACAAACATTTATCAATATATATCGGAAGAATTTGAAGTAAAGGAAAAATTTCTCTTTCGTATTAATATTGTATCATAGTTTTCTTCGATGCCTTTCAATGACGAAGAAGATCCAAGGTTAGAATTGGCGCGATGATTGCGCGGTAATCTGCTTTTCGTTCAGCTCGACGGAAGGGTGTAGCAGTTGTCGTATCTGGTTCGCCCGAGGCATCCTCGGCGGAGGCGTGCAAAGGACAGAGAAAATATCTCCAAAGACGGAGACGAATCTCGGACAGAGAGATGCAAATGGGGAGAAAGAGAGAAAGTAGAGAAACAACCCTCCTGACACGGGTTATCCTATAAACGGCACCGTGCCTCCAGCTACGCGGAGATAATCCAGCCCCCGGGGTCCGTGTGCGGTTGAGCGGTCGCAACAGTTACCATATTTGATTGTATCCCTTCTACCCTAGTGGAATACAAAATAATAATACCTACGTCGCGGGCTTACGAATTGAGAGATCCGATTAACGACGCTTGCCAACTTGCGATCTTCCATGGTGTTATCAACCGAGTGAAAATAAAAGCTATTTAAAAAAAGAAAAATCCCACAAGATTTCAACGCGTCTCGGTTTAGCAACGTAAAAACGTCCAAATTGCAGGCACACGCGTGGCTTGTTTTTCGCTGCTCGTGACACCGTCCGCCACCCTGGCAGGAAAACGCTGGGGCCAAAAGAAATCGCGCGTTTGATGTGCCGCCAAAGGGAACGCGTGTACGAGAGGCTCGAACGGGGGTTGGGGGTTCTCGGGGGGTGCAGAGAGGTCGAGAGAATATTCCGTCGGTCGAGTTACAATTTCGTGTGGGTTGGTCGGTCGACTGCAACCACGTTCCAACCCCAACCCCTCCTTCTCTTTCTCGTTTCGCTTAAACCGTTACAATTATTACCGGAAAAGCGCTGCACACGCATGCGGCAAACCGCGGGACCCGCCGACGAAATTACATTGATATTAGTATCGTTTCAGCCGGCAGATTAATTAATTAAAACGCGTGCCTCCGCGCGCCTCTTCCCCTATTTCCCGGATAAACCACCCCGCGTACACGCGTTTCTCGCCGCTGGCCACTTTTACCGTCGCACCGCGTACATAGATTCTACGTACGTGTTGTACCGGCGGAAAATGTGCGAGCGGGTTCTTTGCACGTTCGAGCGGGAAATCGAGCGTGCGTGGCGCGTAACTTTGTCGCGTCCGGTCCTTTCGAAAATACTGTTTCACGGTTGATTGCTTTTTATCGACCTTGTTTTTTTCATTTAAAACGGTTAAACAGTTTGGGATGCAGAAGATAAGTACGAGTTTCATTATTCAATCGTGTAAAATGATTCGTTTTACCTTTTTTCGCGTGCAGAATGTCCGCAGGATCCGGTGGCAGGGCTGTACAGTGACTCGGGCTTAAACTAGGTTGCAAGGATGGAAACGGACTGCCAGCTCCCGATGGATACCTAACGGAAATTCAACTCCCATTGAAGTTAAGAAAAATAATATTCTATAACGATGGAAGAGGGATATGGATACCATGGATTCGGCCTGGGCCAACCAGTTGTCTGGCCATTCAGTAGCCTCAGTTTGTCGTAAACGCTTTCTGCTGGACTGCCAGCACCAACCCCTACGCCAACGCCGGCCACCCCTTGCTGTTGTTGTTGCTGTTGCTGCCGTTGCTCCTTCTGTGCCGCTAAATTTCTCAGTACCCTATTGATGGACGACACCTGAAACATAAAATAGAAAAATGTTAGTAGAATAATAAGGTGTCCTTAGAAATTTCTCTCCAACTTCCATACTCTTGGTCTTCTTTGCATGAACGTGGCAATCTAATTATCATCAAAGAAATTACAATTATTGCCCAGAGTATTCCTCTTCGACGCTTTGTAAATGCTCTTCAAACAGATTCTCGAGCAAACACGATGCCTTGAGAGGAGTTGATAACGTTTATTAGACGTTACATTTGCTTTACCATCATCCTACATTTCCTCAAGAGGAATCTCGCGAACAGAGAGTGGTACAAAAGAAACAGACACTGGCTTGTTTCCAATCGCATTTAGCACAGGAAGGACGCCTTTAGGAGATTGCTGGTTGCCCCGAGAGGCGTCCTCCACTGATTCGGATTTATTATAAATACGAAATGTAGGAGGGGTGGAAGGTAAGTCGGAGAGAGGCGTAGGAGAACGCTTCTGCCCGATGAAATGCGATGAGAGCGGTAATTAAAACGATGCGGTGAGCGGCGTGTGTTCCACGAGGGAGTTAATTACCTCTGCCTTCAATTATATCCGTCTCGCGTCACTCCAAGGGGACTTTGGCTTCTGGCAAGCCAAGTACGCACTCGCGCGTCTGCGGTACTTACAATTCACTGAGAAACATGTGTACGCAAGTAGCTATCTTCCGCCGATCGGCAATCGCAATTATTAGAGATATAAATAAGTTCTCGAATGAATTTTTCAAAGATATATTCAAACGGAGGGAGTAATCACTACCTGGCTCCTCCCTAGGAATTTCCTTTTTAGAAACGTTCAAACTATTTTTATATATTCTGGATTCTATTTATATATTAATTGAATTCATTAGCAGTTTTAATAGCTGAGTATCAGCCCCCTATTAAAAGACTGAATTTTTCAATAAATACCAAAATATTTTCAATAATTTCAACTATAAAATTGTGGTGTACATTAGCTACACCTCAGCATCGTATCTTTTATTTATCCCCTGCAGTCATAAGCTACTCCCGTCGGTTCTGTCACTTACAGTTCCTGTATAAATCCCAGCCAAGTCGTAAAAGAATTCCTACGAACTAAAGCAGTACGTTCCCCTGCTGCCGATAGTTCTGCAATTTATTCTCTACTCTTCCATATATTTCCCTGCTATTCGCGAGGCATGCTTGGCCGAAGTTTTCGCCAGGGAGCATTAAAAATTCCTCACTTTTGACTTTTAATAGGCGGGAGTAATTGTATATTCATTGGAAGGGAGGAAGAGATTATGGTTTGAAATTTCGTAGCTACTCTAAGGAACGTTCTGAATATTGAAAAATAAAAATATTAGATCGTCTATCTATTTTATCGGATAGGAAAAGGAAAAGAGGGAGAGAGAACGTAGTGGAAGGCAGAGACGAGAAATTGCGTGTCCAGGATTAGCGAGGAGTTCTCGGATCGGCCATGGGAGATTTTCGTTCCCCATGGTTTGTTAGACCCGATGTCACAGTCCCACAGCGTTGAAAAGAGCTGACATCTCGGACCCACGAGCGGAGCAGTGTCATCTCCCTCGGTGCACCAGCGAGTCCAACACATTCGAAACACGAAACAGACGTCGTTCTGATACATATATACTCTTCTTCGATATCTCTTCCATGTCCTTCGACGTCACGATGGTCTACGACTTTGTAATTTAAAAAAGAAATATACTCATCTTCGTGAAGTTAATAAAAAAAAATACTACAATATATAGGGCACTCTATTTGATTTTAATTTATAGAACAAGCAACCGCGTTTAGTCAGGAAAAATTCGGGACACCTTGTATAGAAATGGTAAAGTGACTCGATGTCGGAAGCTGGTCACAATGAAAAGTCGTTGCGGCAAGAAGGTACTCGTTGACAAAGCCGTAGGTTCCAAAGAACCGGTGCCAGTCAAACAACAATTCCAAACTCTGCTGTGACATCGAGTGTCCTGGCTGTTTGACCGTTTTTTGATTGACGTCGACCGCAAATATCGGCGACATTTGCGCCCTGTCTCACCCTCCTCGTTACCGTGACAATCGCGTCGCCTACTAGAAATCGATCCCACAATAGCGCGCTTTCGTCGAGTGTCGCGTACATTCCGAAGAAAAGAGTTTTGCATTTGTCAATCAGCCTGTGATTGATCTGTTTTCAACCACTACCCTACTCCCTAATATGTTTTTACAATCCTTGTGATTGATAAATTAAAATTACTCGAGAAATAAATAATTTACCATTCCAAGTGGTAAAACGCGATTAGGTATCCAAATTCGAAAGAAATAACAAACACGTGCGTTTCATCGGCGTATCATTGACAATAGGAATCTCGACACGTTTTTAACCGTATCGCGACATAATACGCGATTGACATAAAGAGGGTGCTAGATATTATCCTTATAGCCCGTGCGACTCGTATAAAGGACGACACGCGGCGCGGGGGTTGTTCGAAACACGCCTAGGACCAAGAAGAATCCAACGGATCGATGAAATTAGCATGGACCGTGAAGAGACCGAGGGTGGTCGATCTTCGAAAAGGGTGCCTATCCGTCGAACGGATAGAGACGTCATAATATTATCCTCGTGTGATGCCTTTTAAGCGATTTGATAACGCCACGATGATCATTCGATGATAATATGGATCATCCAGATTATCAGTGTACTTCAATGGTCGTATTGTTGTAGGTATTAGATTTCTAATCTGATAGAAGACACATTCTTTTTCGATTTTTTAAATCGAATGTAAAAATAGAGCGAGAAATATTTTTGCAAAACTATAACTATTAAAATATTTATTTCAATCAGGGAAATTTCTTGCTACGTGGGGGAGTATCCATGAATGTTGAAAACAGGAAACTACCAAAGTGTCGAACTGGCGACACTTTCATGACTTTTAAATAACCCTCGTAAAGTGTCGTTGACCACGTGGGCTGAACTACTATTTCAGGATGTTTTCGTGATAATAAACCGCCACGTTGTACGGGGCTCGTTCAGACCCCATAATAACGGAAGTGGACTGAATAGAGAAGGAAGAAGGAGAGAATCGCACCCTTCGCTTCTTCCGCTCTTCTCGCTTAATACACTCAGCAGAGAGGGTGGCAGGGACGAAGGGGAGAACGAGCACAGGAAATACGCGACTACCGCGGATAAGCACTCGTAAAAATTGCACTACCATAAACAGACATGCTAAACAGTATCCTCGATAAAAGATAATAATAGTTCTGGCTAGGGTGGACCTGCCCCCCTAGTTATTCTATGATTCTATGATCCTAAGATTTAAAATTTATAAACTTAAAAAATTTCAAAATTCTAACACTTGACGCTTTCAACAAATCTAAAGCTAAATAAAAATTTATAGAAATTAGCAAACATTTTATTTTATCATGATTCGAATGGTGAAAAAGAATGAACGCGATCGAATAAAATCATCCTTCTCGCTATATTTTCTCCGTTTCCCGCTTATTTGCCATACGAGATGAGACACGTGCTAACCGCATCTCGAGTGCACGCAGACACGAGAACATTGGAAGGCAAAATGTCATACAAGCTGTCATTAAGTCACCCCTCTGCGGGATAAGCACGAGCGAGTGTCGTGCAAGCACCTAAATCACAGGTTACGCGATTTCTGGATCCATACATCGTCACGTAACAAGAGTATATCGTGTCATGCGGTTTCCGTTCTTCGACACTCGATGACATAATGATTTAACCATTGCCTCAAACACGTCCCTTATCGTGCCGTAATATGTACATGTGTTTCGCATTCAAGAGGTGATCTATACAAGTGTCCTTACATGGCGGTTAATTTTCTGTCGAGAGATTCTGCTCTTGCAGAATTTTTTGTATTTTTATTCTACGGTAAATTGGCGATGTTACGCATAAAAGGGAGCGAGCAACGCTCCCACGAAAACTAAAACATGAAAAACCTGGTAATTTTTCGGTGATTATTCCCAATTGCAATTGCAACGAATCCGAACGCTTAGGGTGAATCGGCACCGCCACGCGTCGATACGCCGATTTGCAATATAAATCTTGCACCCTCTATGGTGCTCTAGCTACCCCATACCGCGTGGGAAATCCTGTCTGGATCAAGTCGAAGGAGAGAAAAAAAGATGCAATTGTATTCGTGACAGCTCTATTAGTAGCTACTCGCCTTTGCTTGATCTTAGATTATCAAATTTCTAAAACTATGGAGCTTGAAATTGATTGAAATTCCGAAAATAATTTCGACAATTTTTAGGTAAGATATTGAGAATGATCATGAATTTAATCGTCAATTTAAATAGTTATGTTAGAGAATCCTTAATGGAGGATTCGATAATGAGCCGACAGTTGAATTGCCACGATATAAATGAATCGGCTGGTCGAAAACGAGCCACGAAAGGAGGTGGGAAGCAATTCTAGGCAACGAAGACGATCCTTTCTCGTGTATCGTTATCTAGTAAGCCATTATTCCACGAGTTATCGTCGCTAGTTTGATTTATCGTTCGAGCCACCCAAGAAACTTGGCTGAGCCTTTGCTTCGGTCGTACATGCCACCAATTGTGCCTCCAAGAAAATCATGGCAGAGGTAAGATAATGCAAAATGATTGGCGAATAAACCTCTAAAATATTTTAAGTAATTCTTTTTTTTTTAAACTGAACAACGAGACGTATAACCATAGGGATCTAAAAGAACGAGGGATGAGATACGAATAGCATTTAAATAGAAGTCGAGAAATGCATGGCATTCGCAATTTAAAACGCACCTTAAAACAACAACGAAATGAAAGGCCATCTCTCTCTCTGTACTCGACGAAAGATCGTCGAGCGTTGGATGCCTGATGCCACGTATAATCACAGCTTTTAATCTGGAACGACGTAGGGGTAGTTTTTGGCGGCGGTATAGGGGCTGGTTCGAAGACGTCTAACGGGGTGCTGGTGTGGAGGTAGAAGAAGGGATGCTGTATTCTAGAACGCGGCAGGGGGTTCCATAGAGTAATACAGGGGCGGCTAGGACGCCACGCGTC